AGCACATGCAATGTGCCATGTGAAATTAAATGGCATTTTGTACACGTAACACATTTATGTGTGTACAAAATCACCATAGATAAGTAAATTGTTATTTTTTTTAATATTTTTTGGATAAATAATTTTCTTAAATATTAATTTGGAAAAAAAGATCCTTACATTATATATTACACTAATGTACTTATATTACATACTTGTCGATTTGCCTTTTTATATTTTATCTAAACAAAAATACATAATAAGAAGTTTTTAAAGTAAATTTTAATTATATATATTTAGAAATTTAAAAGTATTTGAAAATAATTTTGAAAATATTTATAATTTTTAAGTGTAATTTTAAATCATGTCTTGATTAATAAGATGAATATATATAAATTTATTCTGTATCTATTTTTAAAATTATTGAATAATTAACTACTAATAGTACAGTGTTTATGCTGTATTATTTAAAATTATTGATTAATTATCAGAAGATTTTGGTGAAGTTGCGTAAAGTGTTTATGCTGTATTATTTTATTTTTTTGGGAGTTACCCAACCCTAATTACCTCTTTGAGGCAAGTTGGCTTCCTCCGGTATCCCCACAAGCTTCGACTCTTTGAGCCGGCTATGGGACTAATCCGGAGTGCGGGGGTCAGTGATGGCTAAAGGTTCAATCCCCTCCCCAAGAATGCATTCAGCGGGAATCAAACACATGTCCAATCCCACTAACTCAGCGCGAAGGAACCAACTGAGCTTGCGTATTATTATTATTTTTCTTTCTTGTCATGGTGAGTTTGCATCGGTAATTAATGTCTAATCGCATTAATTGTTGATGTCTAAACATATTTAGGCATCATATTAAATGAAATTTTTCATGTCTCGATGAAAGTCAACTAATCACTATGATAAAGAAAAGGCAATCAATCACCAATTCGCTACTGTAATTTTCCATTCGATTTTTCTTTCTAAAGAGGATCTGTGAACTTTTTGTTTTGTTCGTTTACTCTGTTCTCTATCATTAATATGTACGTCTATATATATATATATATACTAATGATCAATGCAAATAATTTCAGTTGATCAATCATCACAAGTAACTAAGATTATAATCAAATAAAACAAAAAGAGGAAGAAAATCTTTTAAGTTGGCCCCCTTGGATGTGCAGACAACTATAATTATTTCCCAAGAAGCTTTTATTGATTTTCAGTCCTAGATGACCCCTATTATGGGTGTCGATTCTCCAAAATGCTATAGATATACTTCATGTTCCGCTGCCGTCCAAAATCTGAGACGCGTTCAACAAATCTTAACAGAAAACCGTGTTGACATGTTTTCTGTTTTGAGTTCCAAGGGACGAGAATTATTTTAAGAGAAGATCAATATTTTAATACATACATATATAATTATGCTCAAACCTACCAGAAACGAACCTCATGATATGTTAGTTAGGTCTACACAATTGTTCAAAGTGCAGGCGAATTTGTAGCAAAAAAACAAATTATTAGCTTCTAGGGCACATGCATGTAGTTGACAAGAATATGGAAATCGACCAAAATTCCCACACCTTAATATTTTATAACCTCAATCTAAATTTGTTAATTTAGTATATATTACTCTACAAGTCTGCAATTAATAATTAGTAAGTCCTCGGCCTTGCAAAGCTTCTCTTCACATGCAAGGATGATGGGTCGTCTAGAAATAAGGTCGTAAGCGATTAAGAACGTTTAATTATTTATTAGTAAACTTAATAGAAGAAAATAATAATAAAAAAAATGTATCTATACATACATACATACTTTATTAATTTACATTAGACATGGCCCAGGGTGTTGGGTGTAGCAAAATTAGAGATTTTTAGGGCAACCAGCGTACTCGATATTTTACCTGTGTAATGCGATCGAGATATCACATTGACAAAATACATAAGAATGAGGCACCCTAATTTTTAAAAATAAAATTTTGTTTGCTTTCGATGTAAACAATTTTATTCAGCTTTTTTTAATGGATTGTAGAATTTTTTTTTCCATTGATAAAATGTTACGTTATTAAAATGTCAATGGACTTAATTGTCAAACATTTACTACAAAATATTTTGTAAAAACAAATGAGAAAATGATCTTCTATTCTTTATTTACATTAGTAATTTCATTTTTAAAAAATGTCGTGTCAATGTTTGACTCTACGTTAAAAGTAAGGGATGTAACCAAATACAAATCTCTTTATTATTAAAAAAGAAAAAGAAAAAATATTTATCTTTTTAAGGATATAACTTTATGTCATTTGAGATGAAATGATGTCATGTTGGTGAATAATTGACAAATTTTTATACTCTCTCTTCCACTTTCTTTCTCTTCTTAATTTTATGAACGAGAGAGAATGGGAAAAATTAACAATTATGCACAAAAATAACGTCATTTTATATAAAATTACATAAAATTATATCTTTCAAAAGATAAATATTTTTTCAAAAAAAAAGAAAAAGGAAAGAAAACATTCTCTTAACTTACGCTAGACTGAAGTAAAAATTTATACAATCGTGCAAAGAGATCCATTGAATTGAACGAGTTGCAAGTTCGATCTCACCGTCCCAAAATATCCCAAAACCAAAGGAAATTAATCTTTATACTGTTATTATTTAGCTTGCGCTGATATAGGCTCAACGATTTACTACTGACTAGTTAGGAAGGAAGAATTTTATTCCGTTTTCTCGGTCAACAGACGGGAAAGAAGATGATTAAATGAGAGTATATCGAATTACATATATATGATGTGCGTGGAAAGCCAATCAGTTCCTCGTTTTATGGTTGCAATATATTAGTATGTAACAACCACTTGTTATAAATTATTCAACCACCAATCGATAAAGAAATAATTCTCATAAATCATAATACATTTCAATTGAGAATGACCTTTGACTCGCAGCAAAATCTTTCGACCACTTTATATAGGCAAAATTTTAGCCTAAAATTTTGTTGACATCGCCCATCGATTCAAGTTCTTTTGCTAATTGTAATCTCAAAAATAAAACAATTAAAAAAAAACAAACAAAAACCTATTTGCATATTGTAGAGCCATGATCAAAATATAATCAGTTATATAAATGCGCCTTACTCAAAAACATACAATAAATATCGTTAGTAGATTCGATTTTGAGTTGAGAACAGAATCATCTAAATTTATCCACTCATGATATATTGTTATTATATATGAATTTAATTTGATATGTGAATATATTTGTTTTTTGAAAGCATATTATTTTCAATCAAGTGAACGGATATTATGCCTCAGGTGATCTGATAGGTTGGTGCTTTAACAATTTTATGAGTACGTTGAAGATATGATCTATTCTATGAGTGTGAACGCATGACCATAACGGCAATTGTACCGCAGGATCTGCTGCTAACATGGATATAGAAAATTAGGAATATTCCTTCCTTCTATTTTTTTTTTTTCTTTAGGATATAAAGTTATAAACTGTGACATATAATACGAGACTCTTGAACGTATTAAGTGGCACATGTGATTACACTGCTTATGTCAATTTAGTGAACGTGTCATGGTTTGTGTGAATTTTGAATGTGATAACTGATTACGGTAGTGTTTTTCTGGTCGAAATTCCAAACATCAATTCAAACAGCTTTTTTCTTTGTTAATTTCTTGTAAAGTGACTCAAAACGAAAAGCTCCTCAAAACATATACAATACATGGCGTAATCCGTTTTGAGACAAAAGAACTTTTTGGGTAGTGATGATTATGATTACACCGAGAAAGTTCGACAAGGCCAAGTGTTCTCAACAGTTTAAAAAAAGATTTCTTGCAAGTAACTCTTGCGCGCTTTTTTGATTGCGTGGTTAGTTACGAGATTTAAAAAAGTACTTTCAAGTTCAAACTTCAACATCTGCCCCCACAGATTTTACTTGGTTTACAGCACATTACGTAGCCCTTTCTTACAATTGAAGAGAGAAAGCTGGAGCTCCTTTAGGAACTTGTCTTAACCAAAAACACAGGAAAAAGTTATTATTATGTAATACCGAAATTTTAAGTATATCAGAAACCCATTGACTTTTTTGCCTCTGACCCATACACTACAAGTTCTCCTACTCATACGCCTTGAAAAATGTAAGGTTGAAAACAGTGAAATGGGTATAAAAGGTCGGTTTGTGGAAGACGGGCCGCCAACGTCGGCAGCCCAATCCATCGTCTGCGGCCGCTTATCTCGCCGGTGCCATTAATTACGTACACGTAAGCTTTTTTAAGCAATGTGCTTATTCAACCCATGTCATTATTATTTAATACAAGGAAGCTAGCTATAAGCATGATATCAAACCTTTGCAATGCCTAATTAAGTATTAAACCTTCAACACATTAATTAACTAACAATTATATATTCAAACTTTTCATTGATAATAGCAAGATTTTTATGGTCGGGGAATAATCAATTTTTTCATGTTCGAGTTAGTCCACATCATGATAGTTAAAATCTCGATTTAAATCTTAAATTTTATGATTTTACAATTTTTTTCAATCAAAACAATTGTACCAAAATTCTAAACGCTTTTATGATTTTACGATTTTTCTTATGTTAAGATTTTACGTCTTACGATTTTTATCCTCCTTCCAATTTTAAATAAAATCCCGATTTTAACTACCATGCATATGCTCGTACCCTGCTCAAATAGATGAAATAATTGATAATAAAAAATAATAATTATTATATAAATCAAACTCTTCATTGGTGATACAAAAGGAGATTTTCATGGTACAATAATTAATGACTGAGATCGAACTCATACAAACCAGGCAATAATAATAATGCCAACACTACACATCCACATGGACAGAGTGCTTTACCTCTCTCTACAATTTTATCACAAAAGATAAAGAAAAATGGACATTTTTCAACTACACCACCAGTAATATTGGGGAGACAAAAAGAAAAAGAAAAAAAAATGAAAATTTAAGAAGTGAATATTAATTGTGCATGCAAATTCAGAGACTTCACACACTGTTATGACCAGGCTACCGTTCTTCTTGTTCACGATGATCACGAGACGATAACCGGAAAACCCACTTGGTGAGAGACTTTCTTTTCGAAGTTCCGTTAGACTGAGCTCTACGCTCAGCGCAACCATTCCCGGTGGACTCAACAACGAAGGCCTTCAATCGTTTCATGGCCAAGTTTAGAGTCTCCTCGGACATGTTAGCGAAACACACACGGAACCAACCTGGCTCCGTGCAATGGCACGATGAACCGGGTGAGATGTTTAACCCAACTTGGTACACTATTTTCTTCCACAACTCCATCTCAGCTTCAAACGTGTTTGAATGCAAAAGATGCCTCATATCAACCCAACAAAACAAGCCAGCATTGCTTTGAAGACAGTTAATGCCTGCTTTCTGTAAGCCCAAAACGAGCATTCTATGTCGTTGTTTAAGCCTCTTTTGGTTTTCAGCGATGTAGTTTCGTGTGAACTTTTTGTCCCCAAGCATCGCTGAGAGGAGGTATTGTGTTTGTGAGGAGACCAAGCCAAAGCTTGACATTTTCGTCGCCGCAGCCACAACGGTGTCGTTCTCGGAGTAAATGGCACCCACGCGAAAACCCGGCAAACCCAAGTCTTTAGAGAGACTATAGACAACATGAACTCTGTTCCAAACTTGAGCATCAGAATCTTGAAGATCATTTCTTTCCTTCAGGATTTCCATGATGCTGACGAAGCCTGGTGAGCTAAAAACAGTCCCGGAGTAAATCTCGTCGCTTATCAAATGCATATCTTTGTCTTTGATGAAGTCAACGAGAATGTTCAATTCACTCCGAGACATTGTGGTGCCTAGCGGGTTTGACGGGTTTGTAACCAAGATGCCTTTGACTCTAAGGTTTCGCTTGCGTGCCTCTAGATACGCTTGTTGCAATGCAGGCTCAGTAATTTGGAAGTTATTTGAGCTCGTGCATTGAATTGGAACAATGTCAACCCCAGTTCGCCACTTGAGGTCTCTGTCAAACCTGAACAAGTGAAAAGTTTCACGCAGGTTGGTTAAAAATGTGAATCGTTTTATTCATAACAAAAGGAGAGTAATATATAGGAAGTAGATTATGTACTCACCCTGGGTAATAAGGAGTAGGAAGTAGAAAAGCCTCTCCTTGTTCGGCAAGACAGAACATTAGAGTCTCGTTTGCTGAAGTAGAACCTGCGGTGAGAACGATGTGGTTGGGATCAAAACTCACTTTGTTCCCTCTAATCTCAGCCATGAAATCCACCAATGCCTTTTTGAAAGAAGGGAGTCCATGGTAGTCTTGGAAGAGAGCCAGTTCTCGGAATATGGATTTTCCATCTCGCTTGAATGCTGTTACGTCTGGGTTCTTTGCTAGCCATGACTCCAGGAGATCAAAAGAGAGCTGCATAAGACAAATTTCGTAAGCCACCACCTTTTACGGAATGGACAAGTTATGGAATATATAAACAATGTCTAACCTGATTCTCTGCAAGACCCATCTGAATAATTCCCTTCGAATTAAGAACCTCGTCGTAGGGGTTGTTCTCGTATTCCTGCCATCCTAAGAAATATGAAGAATCTTGGCCGTGACTTTTACACGTTGCTTTTGTAGACAAGAACCTCATTTTATTTTTTGGGATGGTTGGAATGAATAAATTAAAGAGGTGTTTCTATGAAGAACTATAACTCTCAAGCAAGCAAGGAGAAGAAGAAAGAAAATTTTGAGAGGTAGAGAAATGGAGGTCTCCAAGTTGAAGATGAATTGGTGGGTGTAGTAAGGAGGAGGGTATATATATATATATATATATATATATATATCGCAGAGTCCTACTAGCATCGAAGGCCTCGTGGTAATGCAGAAACACTTTTGACTAAAATATAGTCTTTCTCGATATGAAGAGAGAGAAATAGAGGAAGGAGACAGAACCTATGAATAAATGCGTTAATTTAAATGCGCTTTGTCCACCGCCCCAACCATGTCACGGGAAGACCACGCTCCTAAGTATCACTCAATAATGAGCAGCGACAAAAATTGTTTTTTTTATTTGTGGCATGTGTCCCCCACCTGGTATAATCTCGCGTGGGATTTCAAGTTTATATGACTCAAGAAATTATGAATGTTTTTCTTTTATTTCTTATTTCCCTTGATGTCAACTTACTCGTATTAATTATGTCTACATTGGTTAAAAAGCGACGTGATAGGATAAAAGTAGGATATGATACGAGGTTAATAAGGGTAGAATATGATATTGGATTGGTAAATTTATATCATGTCATGTGTTTGATGAGCACCTGATTATCAATCTGATAAGATTATGTAGAAGGAGAAAGAGGAAAGAAAAAAATAAATATAATGTAATAAATACAAATATATTGGATAGCGTGAGAATATATTGGGTATCCAATATTGGTATCCTATCTTGTTGAATCCTAACTCAGCTCCCCCTATAAAATAAGAAATCATGTATTGGATAGAATAAAAGGAGACATAAGATAAACTAATTATATCATATTGACTTACCAAACAAGAGATAAAAATAGGATATAATAAGTTATCATATCTTATCTTCTTTATCAAATGCTCCAAACAAACCTAAAGGGTTTATGAACGTCAGAACCTTTTTTTCTTTTTCTTTTTTGTCATATCACTATAATAAATTTGACATGGTCCCATTAAAAAAAAGGTGGTTCCATCCTTTTACGAGACATTCATAATAAATTAAAGGAAAAAAATATACTTATCATTAAAAAAATTTATAATTTTTACAACTAATCTAATTAATGTTGATTTCCGTCAATCTAACGATTATAATTTATTAGAAATTATGGAGTCACATTGATTAATTAATTATTAATTCCTAATAAATTATAACCGGTAGATTGATGAAAATCAATGGTGATTAGATTGGTTATAAATGTGATAAAATTTTTTGATAGTAAGTATATCCTACCCAATAAGTTAAAAGTTGGATTTAAAGGAGAGAAAAAAATTCACTTTTAAGAAGAAGATATATCCATGTGGGTACATATGACGTATCTAAGAAATTTTCCTTGGTCTGAATGCATATAATGCAGTGAAAAACATAGAGGAACAATTGTGATGTAACTTGGGAGCAGGGGTGAAAGTAGGTTTACAAGGGCTACGGCTTAGCTTATATCAGATCAAATTTGGCCGGTTACATATAGTCAAATAAAACAGGCTCGGAATTTTTAAAAAAGCCTATTTATAAAATAGTCTATAGGCTTTTTTTTACATGTTCGGCCTATAAGCTTATAGGCGACCTATATAACATTATTTATTTTATATAAAATAAAATAATATTATTCATAATAGTACCAAATGGTGAAAGTTCACTTGGTGCATTTGAGCTCAGTAGATGGTGGAAGGACTTAGGTTCGATCCCATCAATACTGCCTTTGGGAGTGACATAAAATTTGTATCAATCTCTACAGTAGCATCAGAATCAACATTTAGTGTTGAAGGAAGAGTTATTAATGCCTATCATTCTTATTTGACTAAAGATATCATCCAAGCTTTAATATATGGTAGAGATTATTAGCTACGTAATAAGTATGGCTTGAAGAAAAAATAAAAGATATAAAAAGGTTTTTTCTTTTTATTCTTTTTTTTTTCTTTCTATTCTTTAATCTTGTTTTTTTTCTACGTTTACAAATTGTTTGCCAACTTATATAACCTTGGAATTATATTTCTCTACTACAAGCATCATGATGCATTTGTTGAATTAATGCAGTTATTTTGATTTACATAGTATGAATTTATTCGTTGGATATGATGAAATATATATTATTTAGTTTGGACATCTTGTTTATGAAAGTGATTTAAATGCAGATTGTGATAAGTTGTTGTTGTGATTCATGGTTTTGTTTGAACGTTGAGATTGTGTTTTTTGTTTTAACAATAAAATTTGAGTATGTTATGAAGTTGATTCATGTTCTACTTGAAAGTTAAAAATTAACAGACTAACAGATCAAGTCAGACCATTTGTTTTTTTTATAAATAAATTAGGTCATACTATCAGTTAGACTCATATTATGCTATCTGGTCACATCAAATTAAAAAATTTTGACATAAATTTAAACTTTTTCCAACAAAACTCAACTCAGCTCAACCTACTTTCACCACTACTTTGGCAGGAAGGGGATATGGCATGTGGACTTTGTAAAGGCACAAAGAACGCCATACTGACAACAAATCTCATGGAAAATGGGTCAGTGTTGTGACCCACAAGTCCATGAAGACTTAATTTGGACCCTTAGGTTAAGACCATGGCATGGTCCATATGTTCCCTGGCTGCACTAACCCCCCTCCAATTTGTGTCGGCCATTTTCTTCAACTCACTTTTAACCTCCCCAAGCATGCCCCCTATTTTTCTCCATTCTTTATTCCTTATTCCTTGTCTTAATATACTTGCAATAGCTAGCTAACAAATTTGTTGATTTGGAGTCAAAATTTTACGATCTGCATTGGGTATCAAGACGATGTTACACATATATTTCTCCTTTTTCCGTATTCATTTTAAGTATACTTTTGCAGCTAGAGATTATATATATCACGTAAGCATATCAATTACGGAATATCAAATTGATTGGTCAAACTTAGAAATTTATATTAATATTATTTTCATGGTAATGGAATCTGAACCATATATACTATAACAAGCAAACAAAACAAAATTTCATCACGGCGATGCCATGTGTTAATGCCCACACTTTCTGTTTCCTTGAATAGTTCTTCTATTTTTTTGTTCTTAAAAACTGTTATGATTGAAACAGAATAGAAAAAACATGATCATTAATAATCTAGTTCTTGATTTTCTTCTATACTGACGACAATAATGGTTTGTTTTCTATGAATTTAAAATTATAATAACAAAGATTCTCAATCAGGTGGTTCCCAATAGTGAGGCCCACACTAAACGGAGTTGATAGAGAGGTCTTGGTATTTATCTCGTGGAGGTTGAAGATTGGTGGGTTGTTCAAGGTTGAAACTAGAATATAAAGTTTACAAGGTAAAACAAAATTTTAATGAATTTAACTTTATATTTTTCAAAAACAATAACTAAATTTAAAGAAATATTCTTTCTCTCATTATTATTATTGTTATTGAGCTTTAAATATTCTTTGAAAAAAAAAAAAAAAACATTAGAAGGTATATGTGGAACGGAGAAAGTCCTGAATGCGCTTTCGCCCCTAGTTTGGTACCTAGATTTTACCTTGTCTTCACAAAAAGGCATAATGTAATAAAAAGAAAGGCATTGCTTATAATTTTTACCTAGTTTGGTACCTAGATTTTAAAAGGATGCAAATGAAGCAATAATTGCTAATCACTTGCAACCTGTCATCCGCCCTTGGTTTTTTAGCTACCTGATTTCTTAGTATTCAATTCGATTATTCACATTAGAAGAAGTCAGAGGGTCATCTAAGCCAAAAATAAATAATCTCATTTGAGTGATATCTCTATTAGCACAGTTAAATATAGAGACAATGGTGAAAGCGTTGATCCATTTAGGTAATAAAGTGATCAAAGTGACGGTTAACTAGGTAGGTGAGGTAGTGGTGACTTTGACAGCGCAACTGCAGATCAAGGAGATACCCCGCTCACTGATTTGCGTAGCCTCTTTTATTTTCTTTTGTCTTGTTTTAATTGCTTTGATGGTTTTCCCCTTTGTTTTTAACATTGTTGCTAAGAATAGTGAGCGACAGCTAATGATGCATTTAGCTTTCTGGCGTTTCGAGGTTGAGGCAGGTCGCCTGAAAGAAATCACTGTAAAGTAACCCTAGCTAGCAGCTAAAAGCATAATGATGCATGATAAAGAAGCATGACAATTTAAAATAATTATGATATTTAAAGATTATTGTGTTATTTAGATATAATTAGGTTATTTTTAATAATTGTAAAAAAAAACTTATTTTGGAATTTTCTTCTTCTTTTTAAGAATTTATTAATGATAATTTATATGTTCTCCAAAAAATATTGTAATATTATAATTTTCTATTTCATTTAATTTGATTTAATTGGGATTTTAAATTTTAAAAATTAATATTTGATTAAAAGTTTATACTTCAAATTTATAATGTATCAAAAAAATTATAATAATTTTTTTATTTTTGAATTATAAAAACCTGAAACCTTTTTTGGTGTTATGCATTATGTAAAAAATTATATTAATTGGTAAAGATTATTTAGTTTGAATTAATCCGAAGTGCTTTGGACTACCTAGAATCATGGACTCAAACACCCTAAGCCTCAATCGACAAGGTTCATATCCAATTTCATAAATTATAATCCAAATATTTTAATCAATTTACAACTAAAATAGAAAAAAAAAATATAGTTGCTCAAAACACAATATCATCACCATATTAATCATCTTGAAATTTATCCAAGATAAGCACTCTTGTATTGATATCTTCAAGAACAAGTCCTTCTTTGCTTTAGTATTAAACAAATCAATTGCCAAGAACAAATTCTTGTCATCCAAATTTAGAATCTCTTTTAAAGCATCCCAAATATTAATCTATCTTTCTTTATCTCTTTCTGTAGTACTTTTGCTTTCGAACTATATTGGTTGTAATTTGGTTAAATTATTTGAGTTATATTTTG